ATCCAGTCACAGGCAAGAATATAGGCTTCCATGAATTATTCTGGAATCTTCCACACTCCTCAGATCACATTCTACTGAGTCCTATGCTGTGATTCAGGCCATGGTGTGTGCACCGCTAGGGTCAGAGTGAGACCTGAGGGAAAGTCAGGGGCGGAGGATGAGTGAGGCAGCCCCACCCACCCCTGCACCCAGGGACCAGGCTTCCTCCTCTTCCCAAGGTAAATGGCTTCTGCTAAGCCAACCTGGAAGTAGAATTTCAGAGAACTGAACCCTGCTTTGGGGAAGCCTGCTGTAGAGGAACCCATTCCAAAGGTTGAAAGTTGTCTTCTGTATTGGGGGAGGCTGTCCCTGCCGCCTGATGGAAGGCCCTACTCAGCCACCTCCTAGTCTTGACCCTTTGTGCAACTTCCCCACCTTCCTGAAATTCAGTGACCAGCCTTGGTTGTGCTGTAAGGACAGAGAAAGCTCTGAGAATGGAGTATGAGTGAAGATGTCACACACATCAATGGATAAAGAAAATGTGGTTTATAAGGCGGGCACGGTGGCTCACACCTGAAATCCCAGCACTTTGGGAGGCCGAGGCAGGCAGATCACCTGAGATCAGGAGTTCGAGAACAGCCTGGCCAACATGGTGAAATCCCATCTCTACAAAAAATACAAAAATTAGCCAGGCATGGTGACGCACACCTGTAATCCCAGGTACTCGGGAGGCTGAGGCAGGAGAATCACTTGAACCTGGGAGGCGGAGGTTGCAGCAATCCAAGATTGCACCATTGCACTCCAGCCTGGGTGACAAAACAAAGAAAATGTGGTTTATATACACCGTGGACTACTACTCAGCCATTAAAAGGAAGGAAATCATGTCTTTTGCAGCAACTTGGATGGAGCTGAAGGCCATTATTCTAAGTGAAGTAACTCCGGAATGGAACACCAAATACCGTGTGTTCTCACTTATAAGTGGGAGCTAAGCTATGGGTATGCAGTTACATACAGAGTGATATAATGGACTTTAGGGACTCAGGTAGGGAGGAATTTGGGACGGGGTGAGGGACAAAAGACTGTATTTGGGTACAGTGCGCACTGCTCAGTTGAAGAGTGCTCTCAAGTTTCAGAATTCACCACCACTAAAGAACTCATTCGAGGCCAGGTATGCTGACTCACGCCTGTAATCCCAACGCTTTGGGAGGCCAAGGTGGACAATCACTTGTAGTCAGGAGTTTGAGACCAGTCACACTACTAAAAATACAAAAATTAGTTGGGCGTGGTGATGTGTGTGCCTGTAATCCCAGTCACTTGGGAGGCTGAGGTGGGAGGATTGCTGGAACCTGAGGCAGAGGTTGCAGTGAGCTGAGATCACACCACTGCACTCCAGCCTGGGCAACAGAATGAGAGTTCATCTCAAAAACAAAGAAAGAAAGAAACTCACTCACGTAACTAGAAATCACTGGTACCCCCAAAACTTATTGAAATAAAATCAGATATATATATATATATATATATTTTTTTTTTAATTCCAATTGATGCCACATTGGATGTTCCTGGAGCAGAACCTGGCTAAGGTTTCCAGGAAGCAGCTGTTGTGAGAAGTGAGCACTTGGAAGGGATTTGGGATTCCTCTAGGTGCCTCTGGGACCCAGGTGAGAGGAGGAACTAGTCAAGCGGTGATGGCAAATTAGACTCTTGGATGGAATCCTCTGACCTTCATTTTGGGGTTAGAGGGTCACCTTCCTTGGGCTCTGTAGCAGCACCCCACATGCAGCATGAGGGAACCATCTCTGATCTCTCCTCATTGTTTTAGAGCGTTCTGAGCATTTCCTTTCCAAAAAAGGAAAAATCTTCACAAGTTCTTGCAGGGCTGATGAGCTCCTTTGAGCCTCTCAAGCTGCCTTTAGAGTTTCTTGTGCAGATTAAAAACCAGGCTTCATGAGCTCCACTGGGCACTAACCTGGCATCTTAACCACGTTGCCAAGGAAAAGCATCTCATTGTTTAATGACAGGTTGAAACTTGGAGACCAAGGAGCAGAACCAGCTTTCAGACTGGGTGAGCAGAGGCTCCAGCTTGGGTTGGAGAACCATGGGACAACCTTGTCCAAATGTCTTCTCTCGTTCACACATAGTCTATCTCCTGCCAGGCTGTGAGATTCCAGCCACCAGCCTGGACTGATGGTGACCTTGGTGTGGCTCTCAACAGTTTTTGAGAACTGCTACCCCTCTGGAGGAAGGTCCCCCACTGAGGCTGCTTAGCGGAGGTGGCTTTGGACAGGGAGACCTTGTTGGGACTTGAGCATGGCCCTGAGGGGCCCCTGCTGGCACAGATGCTTTACGGTTCCCTCTCCCACCTGGTGCTCACAAGAGGCTTGCCAGAGAAAATAGAAGGTTGCCCAGTGAAATTGGAAGTTCAGATAAACCACCAATAATTTTGTAGTTTAAGTGTATCCCAAATAGCACATGGGAAGGTTTCCTTGTACAGAACATAATTTTTGCTGAAACATTATTCATTGTTTATTTGAAGTTCAAATTTCACTGGGTGTCTCATATTCTCATTTGCTAAATCTGCCAACCCTGGCTCAGAGGCGCCTCTGAAGAAAGAACCTTCTTGCCATGCTCAGGGCCTTGATAGGGCTTTGTGGGAAGTCTTTTTATTCGGATTTTGATTGATTGATTATTTATTTATTTATTTAAGAGTCATGATACAGTTTAGATTTGTGTCCCTGTTCACCTCTCCTGTGGAATTGTGATCAGCAGTGTTGGAGGAGGGGGCCTGGTGGGAGGTGATTGGATCATGGGGTGGACTTCCCCCTTGCTTTTCTCGTAACACTGAGTGAGTTCTCATGAGGTCTGGTTGTTTAAAAGCATGTGGCACCTCCCCTTCGCTCTCTTCTACCTGCTCCAGCCACGTACGAGGTGCCTGCTTCACCTTTGCCTTCCCCCATAATTGTAAGTTTCAGAGGCCTTCTCCGCCATGTTTCCTGTACAACCCTAGTGAAACCATGAGCCAGGGAAACTTCCTCTTTTCCTTATAAATTGCCCAGTCTTGGCCGGTTGCAGTGGCTCACACCTGTAATCCCAACACTTTGGGAGGCTGAGGTGAGCAGATAATGAGGTCAGGAGATCGAGACCATCCTGACCAACATGATGAAACCCCATCTCTACTAAAATACAAAAATTAGCCGGGCATGGTGGCATGCACCTGAAGTCCCAGCTACTTGGGAGGCTGAGGCAGGAGAATTGCTTGAACCAGGGAGGCAGAGGTTGCAGTGAGCCGAGATTACACCACTGTACTCCAGCCTGGGCGACAGAGCAAGACTCCATCTCAAGAAAAAAAACAAAAACAAAAAACAAACAAAAAAAACCTTGCCCATTCTCAGGTAGTTCTTTATAGCAATGTGAAAATGGACTAATACAGTCGGAGTCTAACTGTCTCCCAGGCTGGAATGCAGTAGTGTGATCATAGCTCACTGTGCACTCTACCTTTCAGGCTTAAGCAATCCTCCAGCCGCAGCCACCCACGTGGCTGGGACTACAGGTACACACCACCACACCCAGCTACTTTTTTTCATTTTTTTGTAGAGATTGGGCCCTGTGTTACCCAGGCTGGTCTAAAACTCCTGGGCTCAGGTGATCCTCCTGCCTCGGCCTCCTAAGGTATTAGGATTACAGGCATGAGCCACCGTGCCTGGCATGTGGGAGCTGTTCATCAGAGACACGGGCACGTGGTACTAGGTGGGTTTTCTAGGTTTGACCGATTGTAACTGAGCCCCTGCCTTGGGCCACTTTGTCCCTGCACAGGAAGAGCAGAGATGAATGCCCCACCTGATCTATGGGGCCTCCTGGGCAGGGTACCGAGGCCTGCTGCAGACTGCAGTTCCTCGTTGGTTACATGCTGTTTTCATAGAACATTCCTCCTCGTTCTGTGAGGTTGGAAGGATGCCGTTCCTCCATTGCCCTCTTTCAGCTCTTTGTTTCTTCACCCTGTTTGGTCTTCAGTCCAGAAGGAGCATCACCTTCTCAGAGACAGCCTTTCCTGGCCCACGCTCACTGCCCAGGATGTCTTTGTTATAAGCCAGGAGCTGTTAGCACAGATGCACAGAGCAGGACTGGCTATGGAATATGTGGGGCCCATGCCAACGTGCAGTGTGGAGCCCCTGGTTCCAAATTAATGAGAATCTCCAGGTGGGCAGCAGATCACCATGCATTCCCAGTGTGGACTGCGTGACAGCATGGGTTACACACCTAGCAAGTTGGCCCTGTCTGCAAACACCAAGCAGACACGAGAGCGGGATGGCATGGGTCTGCAGGATGAGTGAGGGACTTCCAGAGCACAGAGCCGCTGCTCGCTGAGTGGTGGAAACTGCTCAGACCTGGGTACCTGTGCCTTCCTTCTGGGGCCACACTGCACAGCTCAGCCCAGCCCAGTATGGCCCTATGGGTGGGGCCATGCTACCATTCGTCCTAATTTGTCAAGAGAAAAAGAAATGTTAATAAAATACCCTTCTTAATCAGTGGCAATTGATTTGTATTTTGAGACACTCCCCTGGAGCCAAAATTAAGCCCACGCTCTGGAGTGGTGTTCAGTGTGATTAATAATTACCTGCTGACCTATGTGGTCACTGGATTTATTTGTGTCTCCTCTCTGGCCTGTGAACTCCATGAAGGCCATAGCAGTGACAATTGGTGTTCATTGTTCTTCCCCTGGTCCCCAGCACCACATTTGGCACATTTTGGTGACCCTTAAATAACCGTCCCATTTGAATGGGAACACACCAGCTATAGGTCTTAGACCTGCTTTTCCTCCACTTAATAATAATAATATAGTGAGCATCTTTCTTGTTATTACATGTGATAATACATGTAAGGGCTTAGGGACCATTTGTGCAAGGCAGTGACTCCATAAATGTTGGCTGTCTGGATGGCGCTGATGGATGATTGCCTGTTGTATGGGGTCGTTTCTGACCAGGTGAGGAACCATACCTTAGCGAAGATGTGTTTTGTTTCCTCAGGATGCCAAGTTTGTTGAGGAACGCAGAAAGCAGCTCCAGAATTACCTGCGTAGCGTCATGAACAAAGTCATCCAGATGGTCCCCGAGTTTGCCGCCAGCCCCAAGAAAGAGACTCTGATCCAGCTGATGCCCTTCTTCGTGTAAGTACCGCTTCCGTGGGCACGTGCTGCCAGCCCTGCCAGCACTTCTTTCTGGTTCTCTTTGGAAGGCTGGGGAGCACAGCAGTCCTCCGTGATGCCCTGATCACCAGGGGACCCAGGCGAACTCCAGGGGCTGTTTCAGGTGCTGAGATGGAGGCCAGACCTCAGGCTTTGGATCTTCCAAAGAGATGGGAAGAGATCAGGCCTACAAATGAGCATTGTTGATTTGAGGCTCACAGATAAACTCAGGGCTTTGTGATTTTATACTTTCACACGTATCGATCAAGGAAAGATTCATTTTCTGTGCAGCCCATAGATACTCCAAAACTAAAACAAATTGTATCAGTGTTTCTCAAGCTTGGGTGATGAGCCCAAGGAAAAGTTCTCCCAGACTCCTACCTGTATTAACTTAGATTATCTTTGTATGACTATTACTTAAAAAGGAACATTAATATTAATAGGTCTAAATTACTTGCCTTCTTCTCTCTTCTAAAAGTTAAAAAATAAAGGAATTTACATATTATGCACTTAGAAAATCATTATGCTTCAGGCCAGGCATGGTGGCTCACGCCTGTAATCCCAGCACTTTGGGAGGCTGAGGCAGGTGAATCGCCTGAGGTCAGAGTTCAAGACAGTCTGACCAACATGGTGAAACCCCATCTCTACTAAAGATACATAAATGAGCTGGGCATGCAAAAATTAGCCAGGCATGCCAAAATTAGCTGAACGTGGTGGCAGACACAGATAGAGAAGACCAGTGGGATTGGGACTCATCATTCCAGAAGCACTGGTCTAGGTCGGTGTGATTTGCTGGGATTAAATAAGAGTTTCTCGTCACTGTAGTAGCTCCTTAACAGTTTTTCTGATGGTGATGCTGGGTTCTATACAGAGGACTTACTTTTGCTCCTCTCTGTGGAGTGCACCTTTGGGAGTCGGCTTCTATGGGGTGTGCTTTTTGTCTATGGGTGTGCCCCGCATTACCATCCAGATAGACGTCAGCAGCTGCCCCTCTTCCCTGCCTAGGTCTTTTGAAATTGTCTCCAAGATGGTCACTTAGATTTTCTCATTGTTCGGGGGTTTCTTTGAGAAGACATCATCATTTTGTGCTGCCTGTGATAACAGGTATCTTTTTATCCTGAATAGAAGACAGTATCTAGAGCACTGTATTTTCCTATTCTTCTTTTATTTGTGATGCCAGGGCCTTGATCTCAGTATTTGGAAATGACCATGATAGTTCACGTGAGGAGTTCTCATTCTCTTAGAGACAGCCCTCTGGCCCCGGGGTGCATGGGGAATTACCCTCTCATCCAGTCACCGCGCATCGGCTGAATTCCCTGGTGAAAACGGAGTTAGCAGTTTGCTCCTAAGATGCTGCTGATGCTGAGAATGTGAGCAGGAGGCTCTGCCCTGTCTGCAAGTTGATGTCCCCTCCCCGCCGCCCCTAACCATCCCCCCAACCCCCAACCCCCACCTAGCTCCAGCAGCACAGGCATCTCCGGTCCAGTGTTTCCCAAACATTCATCTGCCAAATTGTAAAAACTGCACGTTTATGGGAGCTTCTGAGTGTGATGTGAATCTCAGCCCTGCTGGTTGCCATCAGTCAGCACTGAGAAAGAAACCTTTTATGTCTAATTAGCACACAGAACACAAGGTCCAATTTATATTTATAGACTTTAAAAAAACAAGAATTTCAGTGGGAGACTGTGGCAAACGATACAGCATTGACGCTGGAATTTTGACTATGTGTTGGTCTAGACCCCAGGTGAAATTAAACAGTTCTTTGGCTCAAAGCTCTTTGGCTTTCCTCACTGCTCCAAATCACACTGCCCCCTTCTTCCTTTCTGAGCAGGATGGGATTACAGGTTGGACTGTACAGCTTGTTTCATTCTGGGTAATGATGGATGAGCTGCAACCAAACCTTGCTGGAGCTGGTGACTCTCCACGGGATCATGTCCTTTCTCCATGTGCAGCCCACAGAAAGCAGCGAGACTTCTGTCTCAGCTGGAAAGCTGAGCCTGAGAGATTGCTGGTTAAAACAAAACAAAAATCTCCTGGCTATGGAAATAAACCTCCAAAGCATAATTATTCTTATAAATCTTGACAGATTTTCTCCTTGGTTCTTTCAGATGTTGATTTTGGATGTGATAAGTCCATTTGAGTTACTGAATGTAACTGGATTGTTCATTAAAGAGATGGCCCCCCACTTTTCTGTGGGCGCCAGCCTCTCATTTCATAGCATCCATCTCATCTCATCTTCTAGAGAGCCAATGAGGTGGGCCCCATAGCTCCATTTTATTAGGTGGAGTCTTACAAAGTTGCCATCAAACTGACAACCTTTCAAGGTTTATGCTACTGCATAATTACAATGTAATTATATAAATCTATTTTATAGTGCTGCGGAAAGTGAGGCTCAGAGGGGTGACCTGGCTGATCCCAGGGTCCCCACCCAGCACATGGCGATCCTAGGGTGTTTGGCACCATAGCCCATGTTTTGGGGATGTAGGTGGGAAGCCTGCAGCCTGCAGACTGAGCCTGATTCTCCAACTTGTTTTATTTAGCCAGTATAGTGGGGTTTTGTTTTGTTATTTTTCTTAATGAAGTACTTGCCAACATCAAAAAATTAGAAGGTGTCAGATTAAAAAATCCAGATGTCGAGCTTCTTTTTTCTGAGACAGGGTCTCACTCTGCTGCCCAGTCTGGAGTGCAGTGGCACAATCTTGGCTCACTGCAACCTCTTACCTCCTGGGTTCAAGAGATTCTCCCACCTCACCCTCTGAGTAGCAGGGGTTACTGGGGTGTGCCATCACACTAAGTTAAGTTTTGTGTTTTTTTAGTTGAGATGGGGTTTCGCCACGTTGGCCAGGATGGTCTCAAACTCCTGACCTCAGGTGATCTACCCACCTAGGCCTCCCAAAGTGATGCAATTACAGGTGTGAACCACCACTCCCAACCTAGCTTCTCTTGAAAAATCAGACGAATTGGTCAGAGTCCCATTCTCCCACTCTCCCACACTTGGGTGCCCCATGTCCACTGAGCTCCTGACTCCTGTTGTCTCCTGGGCACTGAGCCAGCCTCCCCTACCATGCTCTTGCCCTTGTTATGTCATGCACTTGGGTGGATCACTCGCCAGCATTACCACCTGGCTCTGGAGTTTGCAGTCCTGGCTCTTCCCCGCTGCTCCCACAGCTCCTCCATTTGAATTTGTGGACATGCCACATTACCCATGATGCATTTGGCTTGCCCACTGTGGTCCTGCTTGTTCTATGAATGGGGCATCTGGTTAATTTCAGGAATGGTGGTCTCATTCTAGTTTGGGAGCTGAGAAGGTGGGCAGGAAAGATAAAACCCAGTGGGTAGAAATTGCTTGTGTTTTTCCTCACAAATATTACTTCAAACTTTTAGTCCAGTATTACATTTAGACAGGACCTGCTTTCATATACATGCTTCCATTTTTTTATTCCATTTTACATGTCCATATTTCACTGTGTTCTCTAGGGGCATCATGACTTCTAAGTAATCTGCCATCTGCACACATCTAAGAGTTGAAGAATCGGCAGGTTGAGTTTTTCCTCCCAGTCTCTCTGCCTCCCATGGCCTCCCTTGCTAATGCCAGCTCTGAATTGGAAAGTAGGCTGGTGGGAAGTGGGGCACTTCTTTTCTATTTTGAACTCTGTGCATCAGTGTGGCCCAGGTGGGGACCAGAGTCAAATGAGTGCCAGCCTCCCCACACCTGCATCTTTTGGAAGCCCCGTGCTGTGTTCGTCGTCTGACATTTGGGGAAAGGGTGGTTTACTGAGAGACGTGACACTTGGCACATGGCAGAGATACCCAGAAAGATGTGAGGTGCCACTCGTGGAGGGAGGCTTGGCCTGGCTCAGTGGTACTGGACCGAAAATTGGTGACAGTTTCAGTGATTTGCTGTACTGTCATTTAGCACATTATTAAAATGGTTTTCTGCAGAGTAATTTAACTTTGGGAAATACATTATGTTCTGCAGCTCCTTGAGGAGAGAAAGTTAGGGGGCTGGAAGGTGGCAGAGTAATATAGGTCACCGCACAAATTCCCAACTGGATTTTCAGTAGAAAACCCGGTCTCAGTTTCCCACACCACCACCCCTGCCCCCATTTGCTGCTGCATTCTCTCTTAGAGTTGTGAAATAGATCCTTTTTTTGCTGAAATGTGAGCTGCCGTGTTCTCCCAGTGAGCAGGTCACATTTAGCTCAGTGATGCCACACCCTGACCTGTGCACTGCCAGGGGCCACCTGAACCTAAGCTGAGACCTTCTGTTTTGCAAGTCGCCACTAACAGGAAGTAGCAGCTTTTGACTTCCTTGCTTCATGGACTGGCCAGAACCTTCCAGTCTCGTAGAAGCATTGCCCAGTTGCCAGGAAGGAGTGGTGATGCTGTGCAAGAGACCTCAGACCTGCGGGCCTCCTGGTTAGGTGTGTGTTAAAATACAATGTCCGTGTATGTGACTTTCCATGGGTGAGCATGTCCCAGTTCGGCACCGTTCCAACCACTGCCTCTTGCTTTCCCCCTTGGCCTGCTTTGCTGACTTCTATCTGGCCCTCTGAGCCAGGTGAGTTTGAGATCCCCTAGGAGCCACATGGAATACATGGTGTTGATTTTGAAGTCGGTAATAGTCTTCGGCTCTGCCACTTAGGAGGAAAGTGGTCTTTTAGAAGCTTTTAGAATACCACATCACACACAGAAAGCACCATATGTGTGTAACTGTTCCTACCAACAGAAAGGGAGCCTCAGGGACGGAGATTGTGGGGAGCAGATATGTTAGGGGAAGTGATGAACTTCTAGTGTGGAAAAAACCCTGAAACACTACAGAAAGATAGAAGATGAGGCCTGCCATTCACAGCTATTCCCGCAGTCACTGTCAAGTCTCTTATGTAATAGAAATCATCAATACATAAGTCAAATACAAACTTCACTGTTCTACAATTTGCCGTTTTTTTTTTTTTTTTTTTTTTTTTGAGATAGAGTTTCCA